GACAACATGAAAAAGACCATCGGCTATATACTGGCCGGTAGTGTCACCACATTATACCCGTTCATGATTTACGTCATATTCGGCTTTCCCATCGCCATCGGCACAATCACTGTACTATTGATAGCGTTGGGCACAGATATGATGCCCGCCATAGCGCTGGCCTACGAGAAGGCCGAGTCAGACATTATGAAACTGCACCCCCGGAACCCCCGCACCGATGTGTTGGTCACCCGTTCACTGCTGTTGAGGTCGTATTTTCAAGTCGGTGTGATTATGTCGAGCGCCGGCTTTCTAGGTTATTTTGTGGCGTTTATGCACCATGGTTGGAAACCATGGGACTTGTGGCAGTTGAGAGTCAAATGGGATGATCCCACGATCAATGACATTTACGACTCGTATGGTACTCCATGGGTAAGTTGGTCAACCTAGTTATTATTATAATGTAATTTAATTAGCAATTATTATACCATGGTACAATATATACGCAGACTTACGATGAGCGTCTTAAGGTGCAGACTGTGGCCCAGTCCTCGTACTTCATATGTATAGTCGTGTGTCAATGGATGGATGTGTTGGTGTCGAAGACACGTCGGGTGTCTATATTTAAACAAAAATTTGGGTAATTTTTATGGTATAATCATTATGGGATAACTCTTGATTAATTTAACACCATTTACCTATCGTTATACAGCAATTGGGTATTGAATTTCAGCATATTGTTTGAGACAGCGTTAGCCGTATTGTTTGTTTATACACCTGGTTTTAACACTGTATTACAGTTGGCACCCGTTATAGGCAAGCATATAATGCCAAATTATTTGCAATCATCATTCAAATAAATGCTATCATTATTTAAAATACTCTATTATATTGTACCAGGGTGGGTTTGGTTATGTGGTGTACCATTTTTCTTTTATATACTGGTCTACGAAGAACTTCGCAAATATATTATCCGTCGCTTTCCCGACTCATTCCTGGCCATTGAACTACTCATTTAAATTACATTGGTGAATTTATTGTGTTTTAACATTTGATTAAGTTAATGTTGTTAAGTTAATTTTTATTTTTAACAGTAGTATTGTTAAGTGCAGTATTCATAAAGTAAATTACAAGTACAAAATGTAAAGTAGCTTATTTTGTAAGTTGAAGCATTGTAAATAAAAAATTTATTATTAAAAAATTAACTTAAAATTTTGGTTGACACTATACAGCACCCCTACTGCCCCCCTGCACCCCTGCACCCCTAGAGATTGGTCAGTATAAACGTAACTCGACTGCACCTCCATGACTGCACCCCCATG